CAATCAATCTGTGAAATGTTGCATGTATTTATAATATTCTTTCATCATTTTAGCTTTAATTTTATAATTTAGTTAACTCGAAAGCTTATATCTGGTATCAGGTATATTTGCAGATCCATGACCTCAATATTAAAATTGACAATTTGATGTTGACTTACCGGTACATGATGCGCAACAGCGGAGTTGTAGTTTACATGTTGACCTGAAAAATACAAATGTATTAAAATATTATTATAAAGCTCAAAATAACTGATATTTCAAAAATGATTATTGCGCGCACTGAACTTTTTATTTATTTTTTAATAAAACAATTAATAAAAAAAGTACATAGTTTTAATTTAAACAAAATATTCAAATAAAATCTAACTAAATATTTAAATATTTAAAATATTTTAATAGATTGTGAAATATTTTATATATGGATAATATTAGACAATGATGCAAAAGATTACTGTCGCTGAATAAACAGTTGATGTATTTCAACTAAATAACAAATGAATAATAAATTATTTACCTGTAACGTTGCTCCGCCGATGCCTGATGCCTCCTGGGCCTCCTCTTCCTCTCAGTTGTCCATCAATGGCTGCTCCTTTCTAGCACAATGCGCGATTTGCGAAATTACGATTGTGATATTTCACCTAACACTCCCGACGCGTATTTTGTCATCTCGTGACAAAAAACTAACTTGAAAAATACGATCGCACGAATCTATGAATCGTTCGACACTCGTAATATTCAAAGCAAAGGGAAAAACTACAAGTCGCACAGTTAATTGAATTAAAGCCACCGTGGCTGTTGTACCACATAGCGCACTACTGTACTTTTTTCATATGAAAATTATTATAAATTTGCTTTTAGGAGATTTTAAAATATCCAACTATCATCAATAAATTAAAAAATTAATTGGAATTTAAAAGATTTATATTCACGCATTAAAATATCAGAATCTTTTATCGCGGCAGATGATTAATAGCGCAAATTGTACATTGGTATTAATAGAAAATAATCTCCTTACCTTTCTCGCAAACACGATTCAAAAATAAGTTATAATACGGAGCGATTTTCACCGCCGTCTGCTTTGGTCGTGCGAATAATAGTTAGGTAATAGCTAAATAAGCAGTGCTTGTCTCGCAGGTCACGGAAATATAAACAA